ATAACGACACTGCAGACACAAAATTTATCAAAACGGAACACCGTAAAGCGAAATACTTAAAACGGCACATTCTATGTTTCATTCTTACGGATTTCTTTTCCATGTTTCACTTTAATGGATTGCTTTATTTTTGTTTCGTATCTGTGTATCGAGCGACGAAAGTCTCATGTTCTTTAGAAGCCCATCATATATATATACGATATAGAAAAATTGGTATGAAAGATACAAACATTAAAACCAATTTAATAATTATTCCCGTGAGCCAAATTCCGTCATGTGAAACTGCTTTTTTGCGTTCAGTAACGCGTAAATGCGTGGAGAATGCATCTGATTTATTTGAATAATATTCAAAAAAAATTAGAACAATTAATACAATTGTATTGTTGACAACAAGCAAGAGCAACGGAGCATTTAAAATATGTCATATGCTGAAAAAGTTGGTTTTTGTTTTCCATATGATAAAAATGATGGGAAATAGCAATCATTAACCCTCAACTGCATGAATTTTTCCTAGGACTGGGAGTACTGGTATTTGGTTGATTTTTGGCCATAGATAACGAAAAAAATATTCATAATCCTAGATTTCCCATGGTTTAGTCAGGAAATGCGATAGAAATAAGTCAGAGAACAATGAAATCCATTGTTTAAAAGTGTCAAAAATATGTTTAATTTGGAAACCGAATAATTTATTTTGTCAAATTTTCGTTTTCGTGCACATTTTTGTTTATAACTTTACAATCACACTACATAGACAAATATTGCCAAAAACAAAAATAAAAAGAGAACATTGACGAATGAAAATTCTCTTCAAAGCAATGTGATCCGATGCACGGTTTACGTTCTACAGGCGTTCAAATGTTGCCCGTCTTGAGGCGGTTGTATGCATTAGAGGGTTAACCAAATTTAAAGAGAGAGCGCCATATATTTATATAGGAATTAATCCAGTTTGAGGTTAAATTCCCCATCGGGTAAACCGCTATATTACCACATGCCAAGGTGACAGATTCTCCATTTAATATTGGTGTGTAGACAATTTGAACTAGCTCACTAACTAATCAGAGTTGATTGCAGTCGTCGGGCAATTCTAACTTCTCTAAGTAGTGCCAAATTTTGTGCAAACTTATCATAATTATTTGTGATTCTCCTTTCCAATTGCAACGAACGGATTTACGTAAGTATTAGATGTGTAGATCGTCATAAGTGAATCAAGTTAAACGCGTTGTCTAGGCTCATGAGTCAAAAGTTGCTCTTTCTCAATTTTCCCTATTAGTGCTATTTGGCTGTGCCCATAGGGAAAGTGCAACAATACATTTCAAATGTAAGTCATTTGACACATAGCAATGAATGCCATCACAACTCATTGAATCATTGTATTTGTCGGCAACTTTTTCAAACGTGTATGGCGTTACTAGAATATAATCAACTTTACGGCGACGCTAACAGCTTTTCTGTGGGCCGGTACTACGTGTTAGCCAAAACGTATTGATGTTTCGCAATGGTTACTCGATGCCAAAATACTATGATTTTTGTACTCTCTTCTACGATATGTGTGCAGAGAAGCTGCTAGTGTCGCCGTAAAGTTGATTATATTCAACTCAAGCCACACACGATTGCAAAAAGTTGTCGAAATATTCGATGATTCAATAAGTTGGTTTAGAGATGTCATTGGCTGTCTTTTGGTATTCCGGTAATATATTTATGGCTGTGCCGAATAAGTAAAAAAAAGGAAAATGCGGATCATAATAAAATCAGCGCACAAGACAAAATCGTTTGAAATTATTTCTTAATAATTTTTCCTCTCTCAATTAGTTTTGCCGGAAATGAAGTACTCAAAGTTCGACGAAAAAACAAAACTCTGGTGTTATACGAATGAAATTCCGCTCTACGATCCACAACTATCGTTCGGACAATTGCTGCTTGATACTCTTTCTAATTATGAATCCAAAGTGGCGCAGGTAATCCGTTTGTGCCATTATTTCTCCTAGTGCTACTCATATAATCTCGCCAACACATTTCTGTGACGTAGTAGCCCAAAGGTTAGAGCATCTGACGCGAAATCGGAAGACCTGCGGTTCGATTCCCTAGCTGCCTAAAATCGTTTTCCATTAAATTTGAAAAAGAACTCGTTGCTGCGCTATTTGTTCGGTTGTATTTGCCTGATGATTTGTCACACAACTCGACGGCAAAAATTAGTAGCGTGTATATCACAATGCTCTTGTATTCGAATAATCGAAGCTAAATAACACCGAGATAAAGATAATTTCTCTCATTCGTTCAACCATACGAATAACAACGTTCAATTTCTCCTCTAGACCTACGATGAAATGAGATTGAAAACAATTCATGCATCACAAAATCTACAAAATAGTAGTTTTAAGCCAAAGGATGTGTTTATGTTTTTGACCTCGAATAATGACAAGTTGTCATTGACAACTTACTTCCAATTGTGTTTGCATCATTTTGCTTGGGCTGCACCATCAATCCATTACATAAAATGCTATCGAAAGTGGAAATCATTCAAATGATGAAGAGAAACAAGTATTTTGTGATGCCGATTCATACAACCAGATTGATGAAGCGATGAAGGAATTGAAATTAAGCATAAAAATGTACACATTCGGTGGCCAAGTCGGCACATCAGAATCGATTGAAAATTTACTGATCAAAACTGGCAATGAAAAAGACTTTGAGTAAGGAAATTTGATTTAAAATTTCAAAACCAAGAAATAAAATGAGTAAGTTGATTTACAGGCCGATTCATATGGATTCGAAGAGTGATATCGCAGCTATATTCAATTCCTCCGGCTCTACAGGCCCATCGAAAAGTAAGACATAAAGGGTGTTTCAACAAGGACGCAAAAAACTTTAGATAAAAAAAACACATAAATTAAATTCCAATTGTCCAAATTTTTATTGTGTTATGTAGTTTGGTCTATGGCAATTATGTATGAAAGTGAATTTTATGCAAACGGCCTGTATGGCGCATTTTAATTGTGGCCTGTTTAGAGGAAAAATTTCACCAAAAAATGTTGAAAAATGGCATTTTTTAATGGTAAGAAAATGCATTAAATATGGACTTACACACCTAAAAACGCAGCTACGGCACTCGCGATGAAATAATGTATCGCCAAATAGCCAAAACAATGGTCCAATTTTGTGAAATTTGTGATTTGAGTAACCAACCTATGCATTTGGCGCACAAATTTTCTGTCATTTTTGAAGTTCAATTCTGATTAAGTTATTATTTGACGGTTTTTCAAGGACATTTCATTGTTGAATCGATCTGGCTAAACAATTAGTGTCCCCAGCTGTCATTCAAAAGTATCAAACTCAATAATTGTCAAAGCCATTTTTGTAAAATTGGCCAAAGTTGGCCATGATGGCCAAAAACGGCCTATTGGCTATATATATTAAATTTGCCAAAGACTGACGCCTCCAAGTGACATATCAGTTTGACAGTTCTGGTCAGCGTTCGTGCTGTCCCTATTGGAAAACTTTTTGCGTCCCTGTTGAAACACCCTTTACGCATAGTAATTAATCGGATTACTGTATATTAATTTTTTGCATTTAAATAGCTTGTCTAATATCGTACAGCCAGTTTATTGCCGTTTTATACGAACTGAGTGAAATTTCAACGGATGACATAGTCTTAACTTTAGTTCTATTTTCTGGACGGTTTGGTTTCATTACGTAATGTTTTGTTTTTCAAAAGGAGCAACACGGATTATATCTCTTTGTAGTTTCTCACCTACATACCAACTTGAGCTCATTGAAAAATACAACGTGACCGTTGTATGAAATAATGTTTTCTTTTTGGGCTCTAGCCTAGAGGTCGATCGCATTCACGAGTTTAATCTCTCAAGCGTTCGACAGATGCATATGATTGGTGAAAAAGTATTTCCTAGCTTAGCCATTAACACATATCAATATTTTCCAAATGCTGTGATTATATCACGATATGATTCAACAGAAATTAATGGCATTTCTAACAATACCATAGATCGGAAAGGAAACTTTTCATCTGGCCGGATTTTCAACGGTCGTATTATGAAGATAATCGATAATTACGGGAACCGTTGTGGTCCCGGAGTAGATGGTGAAATATGTGTGAAAACTGGTTGGAAATTATTTGGTATCTCGATGACTTAAAGACAACTGCTGCTACCGCCGATGGTGAGGGGTTTTACTTAACCGGAGATATTGGACACTTCGATGTAAACGGAATATTGCACATCAAAAACCGTAAAATAGATGTTATCACAATATTCTATTTTGAAGCTAAGTTGTTTCCTTCTGAAATCGAATTACAACTTATCACACTGCCAGACATTAAAGAAGTATGCATTACTGGAGTTTCAATCAGTGAAAATGATATGTTTGGACAATTGCCAGCGGCCGTTATTGTACGCAATTCAACCACTTCCATAAGCGAGCAAAATGTTTATAACATGGTTGCAGGTGAGACTATCTTATTCACATTCATTTCGATATTCGGATTAGTAATCTATGAAATATTTATCTTTATTAAATTTAGATAAGTTTCCAAACCGCATGAGGCTTCGCAGTGGCGTCTATTTCGTTGATTCATTACCTAAAACTCCTTTGGGTAAAGTTAAGCGGAAAAAAGTGTCCGAATTAGCTACTGAATTGTTTCGAAAAGCAAAAGTGAATGATGCAAATATTCAATCATATCTATTGGATTACACGGAAGTATTTAGAAAATTAATTTAAGAAATACCGATGTTGGAATTGAGCAATTTAACCGTGGTTCTTCACTTACCTCATATTGATTTCCATGATACATTTTTTGTCTTTCGAACAATTGTCCAGAATTCAAAATGTGATTAAATAACACTGTTTCACAGTTCATTAAGACTCAATAAGAAGCTAATTACTTAATTGTTCCCAGTTAATTGGAGACTCTCTTCTTTTGAATTAAATAAAACTCACAAAATTATGTATTATTGAAGTTTTGTTTTTATTTCCGCTGAATTGTTGAATTAAAAAACGGGCATTGAATCGCTAAATTTAAGTTTAACCAAATATTTGATTTTAACCTGTTGATTGTTGTATACAACGTATTCGTTGTACTCGAAGCTAGTGTCAATGCTATCATTTTTAATCATGTTGCCATAAGAAATGGCCACTTTGTCTATCAACTTATATGATTGCGGTGACTTTTTTCCGACACCGTGAACTGAATGCTTACCATCTGGTAACTCTTTGATATTTTCCGGATCAACGCACTGAATTGATTCACCAAGTGCTACTTCGCACAATAAAACAATACCAGTGTTGTCACTCTGTCTGGCATAACAATATTCTGCGGAATTTGCAATTACATCGGAAAAGTACAGCCCCTTTCCAAGCATGCAACCGATAACGGGTGCTTCACGAGGTGCAATTTTCAACCCATGTGCAAGAATCAAATTGATATTGACAATTCGGCTGCCATGCCAGAGCATTCTGTGATTTGTTACGCTATCAAACATAGCGCATGTTTCATTCTCACCCTTACGTTGAATTTTGAAAATATCTGCAACTTCAATATTGCAATCCAGTTTTGTGTTGTCTACTGCGTTTTTTATGATTGCGTATTGCTCGGAACTCTTGTCGAGTGGTTGAATTGTGGTATGCAATTTAGTATAGAAATCGTCTAGAAGATGTTTTCCACTTTCACCAGATTTGTAAAGAAACGTATAGGAAAATTTGATACTGTTCAAACTCATAAGCATCATCAACTTCTCGAAAGCCATATGATTAGAAACGATCGTGTCTTTACTGTTTGCTTTATGTGGTATAAACGAGTAGAAACGATTTGATGCTTCTATTAACGACTCGCGTGATTCTTTGCATCCAATTTTTCGTGAGATTTCTTCTAATATTTCAAAAGCTTTTCCGAATTGTATGGTTTTGACTTTGCCTAGTGGCATTTTGTCCATATCAAGATTAAATTTTACCATCACTTCGCTCATTATGTTCGTGTTCATCAAAAGTTTCAACAAATTTGATACTGACTGATCTAATGTCTCACTATCAACCAGTTCGTATACTTTTTCATCCGGTTCATTTGAAGCTGCCAATTGAAAATATCTTCCAGGCCATTTTTGGAAGAAGCCATTGCCAAAATTGTTTCCAGTTTTCCTACGATAAACCGTATAAAAACTATTCTTAGCTTCGTCCAATGTATCGAATTCTTCGCATTTATTGTCACCAATGTTCTCATTAATGCGACCCCATGAACGATAAACCCAGTATCTATTGAAAAATCGAAAATATTCATATTAAGCAATTAAATTACACATTTAAATGAAACTCCGCTTACCTTTTTGGATTATCGGCATCCGACTCCAACAATTGGAGTTTGTAATAGGAATTTTGATCAATGCGAACACTCAAATCGACTTTATCTAGCGTTCCTGAAAAACATTTTCCATTTTCTGTGTACACATGGGCGACGTTCTGCAAATGGGAATCTGGATCAACTATAGCTCCATCTAAGCCAAGACAATAAAAAATAAAGATCTTTTTCATCGAGTTAGTTTCGCGTGCATACCTTTTATTATCATTGTTTTTTTATTTTTCGATTTGTGGGCCGGCACAGCAATACGTTTTGGTTTCTTTGTTGTTTTCGCATTTGATCGCAGTTTTCTTGTCTTGACAATTCGGTGCTGAACTTTGAAATTTTTATTCAAAAATGGAAACGCTTCCAAAATGATCATGGGCATTTTAACATTTCGTCTTTTGGGTTCTTTCACTTTTTTGTCACACTTGCCAAATACCGATAATTTTCCATGACAACGATAAGATGAGTTCCCGTCGAAGACGAAATTCCCATTACAACACTCCTTCACATCGCAAGGCTCAATTGCACCAAAGTGAATAACCTCCGTGACGTGGTTCAAAATCTGTTGAAAAGAAGCGTTTTAATGGTATATATATAATAATATGGTTAAATTCAATCTCTTTACTTCTACATTTTTCCAGGGAACTATTTGCTTGTTCTCTCTTAAGATTTTTTTTTGGCTATCTATATCGACATTTTCAGATATTTGTTTACGAAGTTCATGCATTTCTGCGTTTTGATGTCGAATTAATTTGTCCAAATCGTCCTCCAAATCAGGATTCTTCTTCTTGAACGGAGGTTCAATGGCATTGGCATTTTCATCAACACTTTCCATGGCTACATCACTGGACGAAGCAGACATTTTGAATAGTTTAACCCGTCGTCTTGAAGGTCTCTTAACAGAAACTAAATAAATAGCAAACCTAATCATAAATTAAAAATAACAATCACCAACAAAATATATTACCCAAAAGTTTTTTCAACTTTTCTTGATCTTCATTGCGCAAATGGGCGAATCCATCAATATCGAACTGTGATTGAGGGTGGTATTTATTGAAGAAACAGTTTGGATGAAAACACTTGCGTACACGGCCATCAAATTTAAGCGCCTTTAAATAAATAAAATAACTTTTATTTTTTGTCGTATTTTTCCAATCGGAAGATTTTATTCCGAATAATACGTAATATCAGCATAGTTTAGCTGCACGTACATGTACAATTGTACATGCACATGCACATGTAAACTAAATTTCAATGGTGATACAACCTTTTGCAAATACACCATGCGCAACACATCTTTTTCAATTTGTTCCTTGCACCCTTTGCATGTAGAATGTTTGCTCTTTGAGTATTCTGCTTTGTACGACAACTTTTTTTCCATTGTCAAACTTTCCATTGTTTTGATAAATGACTTTCTTGAACAAATAAAATAATATTGGTTGAAACACAAATTACAATCAGACAAGTGCACTGAATAAACACGTATATCTTACAGATCGTAGACAATATACTGGATAAATATTCACTCACACATTGATAAATTGTTCAATACTGTCTATGGAATTTTCTAGAAAAACGGTTCACAAAGACCTAACTTCATATCAATTGAGTTCTAAATTATTTCCATGATCACAATTGGTTCATTTTTTATTTTTGTTTATTATTTATTTTATATATTTTGGAATGCTACACAATTGTTGTTACTTTTTAAACGGACATTGTTTAACGCAGAAAATTTTACATAAATTGTCAAAATTGGAGATCGATCCACTGATCGAAAGCAAAGGATTCACAATACTGACCTACCTGAACATATATAAAACCGTGTAAGTTTATATATAGATGAGGGCCTGAGAGTGAAAGTGACCAACAAAAAGTTGAGCGTAAAAGTGACTCCATACAAAACACATGCTACCGTCACGCTGTTTTGTATGGAGTTAGGTCACTTTTACGCTCAACTTTTGTTGGTCACTTTCACTCTCAGGCTCTCATATATATATATATCTCCATATTTAAATGACAAGACATATATATATTTTCACAAACAATCGGTTATTCATAACAGAAATAAATTTTATCCTTATTCACTGCATACTAAGAGCGTAGCAAAGCACGCAGGGCAACGCTAGTATTGCATAAAATAAAAATACATGGAGAATAAGTTATTTTAATGATTAATTCGTGTATTTGTTTCAAAACTTTTCATTTCGATCGCACGGACGCATATAGCTTCCCAATGAATATAGGCGGATCATTTGTAAGATTGATGAGATTAAATTCAATTCAGTATCTGCCGGCGGATATAAATTGTTCAAATGCAAATGAATCATAAATTCAAATGTATCTAATGTGGCCATTCCATACCAAATCAAACAAGAGTTGTAATCTCCGAATTCGCCAAAAACTTGTGTGGAATTTCGTTTTGTTGAGAAAAAACCTATAAATTTGGACTGAAATTGGCATTTCTTTGTAAATTAATGAACTGATAAAACTGATTAGACTGCCAATCTTTAATGTGTGAACTTCAGCGACGGTGAAAATGAAACAAGTTCTTCATATGTTCCTATTTTGGACATGAAAGTATGTGATCGAATGTGTTTCGAACCCAATTTCGGTTTTCGATGAAATTATCAACATGAATTATTATATGGCTCAGTATACTGCCCCTTTTAGTGAAAGAAATGACATTTGACAATGCTACAAAAGCATCATCAAATGCTTGCTTTACATCTGCTGCACGATGTGTAATCGAGCAAACATTCAAAACAGAATTTAATGGATCTTGGATACAAAATAACGGTTCATGGTCAACAATCACCCCACACGGTAATTCGTTTCTCGGAAAATGTCTACCTCCATTCAATGTAGTAATGCCAGTAGTTTCATAATTGAATTTACGACCATATAATTCCAGAAAACCTAACAGGAAATCGCATATAGAAGTCGTTCCATTGTTATTGTCTTCCACATAAATTTGCAAGTAATTAACGCACATTAAACTTAACGCAAACGTTGGGATTCCGCCTAGAAAATGTAAAATAATATTTATTTTAAGCCAAGTGCTATATGTTTTAATTGATTTAGTTGAGTCCACGTTCTTTCATAAATTGCCTCAACACGAGTACCATTTTCGAAAATGCTGGATATTTTCGTTTATATTCGATCATCAAATCTCCAACTTTAAATGTCTCATTATGAAGTATTATATCGATGTCAATTTTACTCTCACGATCAATAAATTCAAGGACGGGAACCCTCTCTTATAAGGAATGATTCTCGGCAATATCACTAGCTAGTATATGTGATTTTAGCAATTGTAATCCGGATGAATCTTAAACGCCCATCACCATAAAATCGAGGTCACTATCTGGTAAATACAATTCTGTAGCTACAGTACCGAATTGAATAATTTTTGCATGTGGCCACAATTGATAAACTACTGATTCAACGCGAGTCATAACTCTCTCACGTAAGGCACGTTCGATTCGTGTTGGTTGCATGTATTTACAAAATTGTTCGATTTCCATATATAATCTGAATAAATTGAAAAATATTTCATACGGAATATGGTAAATATGAGTAGATCATAAACGGTGGTACTTACCCAATCAATGGATTTGTATTTGATCCATTTGGTATCCAGGGACATCCATTATGTTCTACATACTGCTTATTTGGATTCATGCCAGCCGCTTGTATCGGCTCAGAAAATTGTTCCTGAAAACCCATTTAAGTGCGTTCACAGTTTTTCATAAGTTGTTCTCCTGATTCTGCCAATTCTGCATGAATCGGTGTAAATGCAAAAATTGACAACAAGTATATATTTTACCATAGTAATTAAATTTTTCTTGGATTTCTGTTGCTGATGAGTGAAATGAATGTATGGAAACAATTTCAAATTGTGTTTTATTCGACGAAACGCAATCGTTGGAGTATTACCGTTTTTTTCAGATTTTCGGGAGTCGTGGGTGATTGAAAACTGTTTGGTTTTATTTTTTCTTCTTTGAACAATTATTTGTTGGATTCCAAAAAAGGACTATTTTAAAGTTACATTTTTTGGTCCCTGCTCTACATGCTAAGTATTGCAAATCAGCTACCTGCAGAGACGATGATCGTAACACTGATATATCTACAGTGGAGAACGACGAGAACCCTTTCACGAAAAAACTGGAAAAGAATTTAGTCCAGCAGATAGGTAGTTACAACGCAACCGATGAAAATGAACTAACCAAACATTATTCCTTCACTTCGAAATATGCTTGGACTTTATATCTAAAGATATATCACCATACAAGAGGAATGCTTAATGAAGGTATTTAGAAAATGGATCATAAACAATAGAAAAAGTTTTTGTTGTAATTTTCCAAGTAAAACTGTACGTATTCTCATGCTACTTCTTCCATTTCTATTCTTTGCCAATAGTTGAAACGTTTTCGTAGTTGTGACCAAGAAAATATGTTTGCTGCAAAATTATGTATTATTTTGGTTATGTCACCTGTGAAACAAGTCTTTGTCAAATCTGTTTTTATTTTTCTAAATTCGGATGAATATTCATATCTTCTGATGCTGATGCTGCAAATGTGTTGCATTAACCGTCACATATTGAATGAAAAAAAGGGAAAAAGAAATCAAAACGGAACCCGAATGATCATTGATTTCTACGATGACTTTGTCTTCAATCGTTCAAAATATATATAATTGTAACTTGCATATTCCAGGCTATGAACACTCAAACAAAAAATGTTGTTGATTTTTCTGTCATTATACCGTTCTTTATTTGGCATCGTACATTTTGTTTTTAATGCATGAATTAATTCTACAATTGTTTTCACAGAACTTGTCCATAATGGGGTTTTCTTGTAATGGGTGTTTTTTTCATATATGCTAAGATCTGTGGATCTTTTACCATTGTTTTCCACACTCTCTCTCTCTCTTTCTCTCTCTCTCTCTCTCTCTCTCTTAAATTTTGCGTGTGTTTGTTTGCTCTTAATTTCTGTTTGAGAAGAAACATGATTTATGTATGAATCGTCAAAATTTATTCAAAAATAAAATGAGTGGCATTGCATTTCCTAGGCACCGCTGTAATTGGACGCATCAACGCTGTTTGGACACAATTGATATCGTGATGATAACGGATATTATACGCGTCGCTGAGCGTTTATGTTTGCAAAAACAGCGGACTAGCACAACAAATGTTGGCATATGAACGAGTCACGTATGCTGGCGAACGATCTTTTCTTCATTGTGCTGTGACATCCGCAAATGAGCGCTGGAGCCAAGCACAATGTGTTTGATATGTTTGCGATGATCCGTGCCAAATTTCGTTTCTGCTGTTTCAGAATCCAATGGATAATATCCATTAAGATCCTCTTTCTCTTGTGGCGTCTTAATACAATATTTCCTCTTGCTATTTTAGTCAATGCATCTATGGCACCAATCCCACGATCAGAGCGTGTGTATGTATCAACATTTCATATATATACTTTCCCACACTGTTTTCGTATTCATTCAAATCACTAAAAATCTAACGTCTAAAAACGATTGAATTTAAAATGATCAATTTGTAAGTAAAAAAACACAAATAAACTTTTCTTTATGTGTACAACATGGGTTCTATTTCTCTCCCGTTTCCAAAGTGTTTTCTTCTTTTAACTCTAAAATCTTTCAATTATTTCCTATGTTTTTTTAACGTATGTTTTTTTCTTCTTCTTCTGTTAAATTAAAACAATTCCATGTGCGTAGAACTCGCATAAATGTGGCATTCATTGGATACACTTGGCTTGGTATATAGACAGTGTCTACTCGACACAATATCTATTTGATGTTCAATGTTCCTTAACAAGACATTTTGGTCATCTCTCTTCATTCAACGTTCTAAATAGCCTCAGATAAATGGGTTTAAAAATCAACTAAAACATATTCGCTTCTGTGCAATAGGAAACATATTGAACTTTAACATGATTAAAATTATAAATTTAGGATGATAGAACTTGATTTGTTTTTCGGTTTAACAATTGTGGTCGGTGGTTCAATGGTACTTAACCCATTTTCTAATAAGTGTTCGATTTTCCATGCAAAATGTTCAATTTTTCAAACATTTGGTAGAAAATGGGTAGAGTATTGAATGCAAATGGTGATGGTACACCAATTATAGTCAACTTGAATATATATTGATCACTGAACAAAGTGCTTGAGGAATGAAATCAATAACGAAAAAATGAAATGAATTTTCTTATCCGGCAAAATATTTTCATATGTATGTTTTCATCACATTCCATTTTAATCAACCTCCTGTATTCGAATTTTTCTTTCTGCTTCCTCTTTATCCAATCAATCGAGTGCACTTTCCTTTTCAACACAATACACTCAATTGCTGATTGTGCTGATACAATCCAAATTGATATTCTCCATGCTAGCATCCCATTGACTTATCGATGTTTTGTATATAATGTCCTCCAATGATAGCTGCTTCGATAAACACACATTTGGCGATTGAAATGTTGCCGTTGAACCATTGATACCGGGCGGTTGTTGTGTTGTATTGGAAATCGTATTCCCACCACCGTTGTTCCCAGTCACCGAACACAACAATGGGATTGTATCGGTGCAGCCCGGTGTTTGATTCACTTCATCGCTTATACTGAAGTTACTGTCGAATTGACTCAATTTTTTGCTGCTCTTCAAATTACTTTCGTTGCTCTTCTGTTGCGGTATTATCATTGGACTGATGTTGGGAAAACGGTATAAAATATACCAATTCTGAAAGTGACATGTTTTTGTATTGAATTGAATGAAACGGTAACAATGAACGAATTTCATCGAAAGATTATACTTACCAAAATATTATAACAAACGATGAATGTAACTGGCATTATGCAGGACTGGCGATTTTCAAGCGCAACAACACCAAGGAACCAGCATACTGCAAAGGCTGGTTGAAAAAATAGAGAAAATTTGATGGCTCGTTTGAATTCGGCAAAATCCTGTGTATCACTTGAACTTTGCAGCGATAAATCGGCAATTGACAATGCACCCAAATCGAATTTTGAATCATAGAAATCCACCGACTTCAGACCATTATCACACGTCATCTGAAAATTGCACATTTTCTCAATTTATTCAGAAATATTTTCCAGTTTTTAATTAAAAAAAATCAAAACGTGGTTTTCTTTTCAAAAAATTGGAATTGTTCCATATTTCCTGGACTTGAGTGAAACGGGCAGCGTTCTCCCATCTGGTCAAACACAATACTTTTTTCTCTAGTTAATGCTGACCCTCATCAAGCTCCCCTACGTCTGCATATTTTGATTTCTTTTACAAAAGTTCTTATCATCGACTCTTATCTATTGAAATACATCATAGTATTATAACCGAATTACCTTGTCCATTTCTTCGCAGCACTTGACCGTTGGCATATATTCGGTACTGATATTTGGATCGGGTGCCAATAAATTGACGGAGTTCACTGTTGCATCGATATTCTGGCATTTGTCCAGTATGTTCTCAATACTTTCGACGATGACTTGGCGCTGTTTCGATACCACTGATCGTAGTGTCATTGTGCCAAAAATGGTATTTGATATGATCAAAATGGATGTTGGTATCATAAAATTGAAAATCATGGACTTCTGCACGGACATCCAGCAATAGTCGTAGATTTCATAGCTATTGCTCGATATGGCAAACGAAAACTGAAACCAATAATAGTGACAACATGCGTTTCGTTTGTAAATTAAAAGGAAAGAAAAAAAAGTTTTAATAATTTAGTTAATTAAGAGAAATTACAATTGTTTTCAAATCTCTCCACTCATTTTAGGTGGCTGTTAAAAAGTGGCGCGAGCAAATTGAACTCACCAGTACAAACACAGCAGACGCTCCAAATGCAAGCAGATTGTTATATTTGATGACTGGAACATTTTCATTAACTACATAGTCATAAATGGAAAATGAATGACAGAGACCCCATACGGCTGTCGACAGATGAAAATAATGTAACAATACTGCAATCATTTCACATTTGAATACATTTTTCGATGTTTGTACGCCAACAATAAAGACCAAATTCGAGGCGCACAATGTCAACAGCAAATTCAATGATATTGTTGCCAAGTGATTTACTCGACGGATTTGACTACAGCCGGGAAAATAGAGAAAGAGAAATAAGAAATACGGAATTAGTATGAGCAGAAAATGAGGAATGCGATTTGAGACAAAGAATAATTTTTGATTTTTTCGGTTTTCTTTTTATCGAATTCGGGAATTGTTGTAAATTGAGCTGCTGAGAAATTCTCATTCATAGTACGGTTTAGCACGTAAAAAGGAAATATAAAAGAAGAAGGGACACTGCCACGAATAACATCATTGTAACTGTTTCAATTTAGTGTGCATTTGATTCGATGTTTCGTTTTTTGTGCTTATCGTACGCTATCATAGATTTATTCCCATCAGCTCAATTAATAAAAAATCAATGATGATGACGCCAAAATCATAATGAACATTGAACATTCAATAAATATGATTAAGGGAAATTGGATGACTAATTATTGCTAATGTAAATTGATGATAAAAATAAAATGATGGTTGAATCAAAAAATTGGCTCCGAATGGAGAAAAAAAAATCGCACAAAAACTCATGATGACGTCGTAATTATTTATGCTGGACTCGTTTTGGATGGAGTGTTGTTTTGCTAGTCCACTTTTGTTTACTTATGTGCCATTCACCGTTCGATAGAATATCTTATGACATTTCGAACGACCGTATTTTGTTGTCATTAGTATGAACATTGCTATTTTTGGGATGAATTTAAGGTATTCGACACTATTTTTGTCTTTGGATATTCATCCGGGTCAATTTTTTCTTCTCTCAGTATTCATTGTTACGAATGTCGACACTTTCAAGGCCATTTCCTTTTCAAACTATCCTTTGACTGCCTTTCACATGATTTTTTGGTAGCGAATGACGCAAATTGATAGCATTCACCATTTATTACCATTAAAATAACTGTTGATTGTTCATTTAAAAAAAATCTCTGTTCACAATAATAGAAATATTTTGATTCAATAAGCAAAAAAGGCCCTCAACAAGTCGAAATTCGACCACATTGTGAAACGTTCACCAGTTACCAATGATTATTTTTCACCCAATGAGAAACATTCTAAAAGCAAATAAAAACCCTTCACTCACCGATTTCGTAGCAGTGTAAAGATGATGGCAAGTATTTGAGCGGCTAGTGCAAAAACAGTGCCGACGATAATGATGCTGCCACCGAGGCTTTTCCGTAGGGCGACATTCGAACCATAGTAAATGTACATAATGTTATCAATAATGTCGTGGTCACGAAGGTCCTCATTTCGCAACTCTTCCATTGTGTGGCGAATATTGAAATCGATGCTTTTGCCTTTGAACAATTTGTCCATTTGATTTGCATTCGGTGCCGCCGCTGCTGGTGCTGGTGCTGGTGCTGCCGCCGCTGTAGACATCATCATCGTCGTCACTGTTGTTGTCATCAAATCAACAGTGCTAACGACACGTTTCGCATCATCGTCGTCAAATCCATCGATGGGATTGCTCAATTCTTGTAGCTTGTTAAATTTGGTTGCACCACTTTTGCTTAAGCCCTTTCGATGTGCTTTCGGTGTAGCATCCATCTCGTCAAACGATCGAACGTTTTCAGGTAAATTTTGATGAAAAATTGATTCAGGATCCGGATAAATGGGATCAGGTGCAGACGATACATCTTCCACATCATAGTACTCAATCAGTTCAGGCGATGCATTTGAATTGTTCGAAATGCTATTCAAATATTTACTCGGATCATCGTCAGCATTGGTTATGTTTTCTGAATGAATACAAAGAAAAAGGAAGAGAAATAAGCTCGCATTTTTTCACACCAGTAGCTTTTACTTTTCTTCGTCAATAACAACAGCAACAACAACAACAACAACAATTGAGCCGTGGCGCTAAACATTTACCAGCATTTATGAAAATCGTTCCACAAGTGATAACCAACAATAAATAGTGCAATTGTTGAAACAATTCCATTTTTTGCTTTTGCGACGAAATTCAATCAATTCGTTTGCGTTTAAATTATCGCGAGGAAAAACTATTTTCAATGTCGTCCGTGAACAAACATTTAACTTTCACAATGAGGATGATGCGCTTTCACTTTAAAATTCAATACATTTTTTTTCCACATTCAGATAAAAACAACTTTTTATACAACTAATTAACACAAAATGAAAATGACAAATTCTGTGCTGCGTTTATCCGGTTTCGTTTCCGACAACAATCGGTAAATGGAATAAATTAGCAAACATCTTTAGATAGATAGAACTTTATTCGAAATATTGAAATAACTCCGTTTGTTTCGCTCGAGAGACAAGTGAATCAGGCGCGAGATGAGTGAGGGAGCACAAAAAAAAATCGCAAAAGATTGTGCAAATAATCCAACAACAATAACACAAAAGCGAGCGCATTCTCTTTTGCTACCTATATTTCGGTTGGTTGTGTGTGCGCCTGCACACATCACAATTTTTCAATGTGATAAATGTATACGGATTTTTGCAGAGGGAAAAAACTGAGAGTAACATCGGGGATAGACAGAGAAAATGAGTGGTTTTTGAAGCGCACCACCAAGGTGGTTGCTGTGTATGTTTTCTCTCCCTCTCCTTCTCATCCAGTTTGTTCCTCATCTCGAGGAGAAAAATGTATGTAATCGGTTTGTCCGTATCACACTTTGATGTAGCTTGCGCACTCAGAGCTTTTTCACAGACACATACGTACGCACAACGGAGATAAAATATGAATGACAATGATGTTGGCGTTGATAATGATGCTGTTCTGCTGCTGCTGCTGCTGCTACTGATTATCCCACTGCCACTGTATGTGATAGAAAGACAATGCTCAATTCGATGAAAACGGATGGTAGTGAGAATATTTCATCACACCATTCATGTGCAACGCAATAATTATGCTCAGCATCTGTCATACGATATTTTCCAATTCAATGACAACCAAGATTGCACTATATAGTGCAGTGTTATATCATCAAATCCAGTCAAGTCGTTGAGTGTAACTCGTTTACCTTTAATATGCTGCATATTAAGTCACTCAATCTGAGTGCATATTCAAATCGATCTGGGATTCACCATTTCCTACTAAATGTACATGTTCAATAGATAGTTTGATATGATCGAAATGAAACGCATACAATTTTGTTGTTTGTTGTTTTTTTTATTTGTGTATTTTTTATTCTTTTTTTTGTTTCATATTTTTTTCATATTTTTTCTTCTTCTTATATTGGATTACTTATCTTATTAAAAGAAATTAACTTTTGTAGCTTAATTTAAAAAAAAAAGGTTTGCAAGGACAATTGGGTTGGTCTTGAAAAAGGATTGTGTGTATATGTGTGTCGCTGTGCCCATCTTAAATTACCTGATTTTATTTTCTCTTCATCTTCACATTTTAGCTTATTTCACAATGTTCTACAATAATAGGTGTTTTGTTCCATTCGTTAATTCATTCAAGCGCAATTTCAGAGATGACCAATGACATAACAAATGTCGTAGTAGAGACAATAGACAGCATTTTCTGCATCCGTGGTAAACACCGATATTTTAACTAACGAATTTTACCTTTCATTCCGATATTATTGTATGTGTCTCTCTCTCTCTCTCTGTGTGTATGTGTGTGTGTAGTACAAGTATATCATTAATCCTTATTGCTTTTTTCACCGTCATTTTTTTTGTTGCTTTTTCACTTTATTTAAAATCTTTTTTTTTATTTCGCTACACTTGGGTTTTTTTCATCTTTTTTTAAAGTTTTTTGTGTGTGTTTTTTTTCAAAGATTTTTTTTGTTTCATTCTGGATTAGATATTTTTGTGTTTAATGATGATACCGAAACGAAAAAGAAAAAAAATGTTAAAAGCCCATTTCATGTCATCATTTTTCTCGCTTTAGTCTTTACAGTCATAATCGAATAATTATAATAAAAAAAAATGCTATTTACAAACTGAAAACAAAATCAACTGATATTCAGATCAAAATGGGCGTGTTGTTTTTTTTTTTCGTTTCTTCGTTAAATTTCTTTCTCCGAATTGACAATCCTTATCCATGCTAGCTATTACATTACGTGGGCGCAATTAAATTTGTTTAAAAAAAAGGTAAAGAAATTATTTTCGATTTTTTTTGTCAGGGAAAAATATCAAATGGATTGTTGTTGTTATTGTTATCATCATTTGAAGTTCTGTTCGCACACTAATATAATGATTTGAACTCAGACATGCGCACGTGGGGAAGGTTTCCGGCTCTTCCACCCATCTGGTGCTATTAAATCCAAGATCATCATTCTAGCGATTTTCACACCACATCTGCCCTAATGTCCGGAAATGATGACCGAAGGAATGGGAAATTCACAGACCATTTTTAGGTCTTCACTTCCTCCGAATGCTCTACCTGCCATAATTTCCCAAAGGGAGAAGCGTTACATTTTCAAAAGAAATGTTCAAGATCCTCTTCTTCAAGAGATCTTCCATTCTCAGATATTCCCCAATCTGAGAATTTGGGCGTGCACATGTCTAGATTTGAACTAGACATAAATTCATTCTTTTTTTGTTGTTTTTGTTCCATTTTTTTCTCGCTTTTTTTGATTTTTTCAATTTTTTCAGTTCATCTGATTTTTTTTTGGTTTTTTTTTGCATTTTGTGTTTACTCAAATCAAAAATTGATTTAGTGGTTTTTTTCTTTGCGTTACTTCAAAAATATATTGAACGATTTTAAATCAATTTGAATTATTTTAGTCACGAGCAAGCGGTGGCTGTAACGGTTGACGCTTCGTTCAGCTGTTGCTGTTGCGATTGTTGCACAGGTGATCCGGATGTTGCATCAGTCAAATCGGAATCACCACCGCCAATATTATCGCGTTTACTTACATTATTTTCAGCACTAAGATTAATTTTAGCTTTAGTCTTCATCGCATCAAAGGACGGACTTTCCATTTCGTCAAACTGTTATTGTTGTTGTTTGAATTAAACGAGAGTAAGATGTTTTAGTTTTAGTTCAAAATGTTCCAATTAAAAGCGCTAAAATCTAAGTTTTCAATCTCGCGTCTCACTCGCTCGATGTGAACGATGTGAGAACTCTAGATTGAAATGTGTCTAACAAGCACTTACATATTCATTAGTCCTTTGTCTTTTTGTCGTTTGAGCTGGGTCGTTTGGTGTTTGTTGTTGGGTTGGAGTCTGTTGCTGAATCACTTCAGTAGATACACGTTTTTTAGCCGTAGCTGTCGGTGCTGCTGCTGCTGCTGCTGCTGCTGCGGGTGTTGATGTGGTCGTCGTCGTTGAATCCGAGCTCTTGCGATTAAGTATCTCTTTGTCTAGATACATATTAAGTTGTTTTCGGCGCACGTGCCGCGCTTCAATTTCCATACCCTCCTTTTGTAAACTGATGCTGGTCGCATGCTTATGTACTAAATTCGTAAAGTTTTGAATACTTTCGGTGAGATCGACATTTAAGTTTTCCGTTTTCTTAAATTCCATTCCGATGAACCACATTGAGCAGAATGGTGCGGTGACCAATTTATCATTTGCATCGGTAATCGAACCGTTCAATGACGATTGCTTTACACGATCAAAACATTTTGGATTGACATGGGCTAAACTAATGTATTGATTACGTTCTAAATTGCCGACCAAATAACGGACTTTTGACTCAACCAAACCGCACCATTCCAGATGATCTTCGGCCGTTTGTGAGCTCACCAGAAGCACAAGAAAATGTCGATATCTGCAAAGTGGGCGACAGAGAGGCATTGATTAGGCATTAATAAGTGGACTTGGTTGATATCCGACGAGAAAATAAAATTTTTGATTAAATTCCAATGTGATGTCAATAATACGGATTCGGTATAGACTTACTTGTGAAAGAAATCGGGTTCTTCGAATAATTTTTCCCAGGTGGCTTTGCCCATCATAATCTCCTCGGTGATTTGATAGCCACGCTCGAATTCCATTTGAATGACCCGTTTTGTGGACGCCGACACATTGAATGTCGAATTCTGTTGTGGATAGGCTGGAGTAATGATTGGCATTTGATGATAACGATCGGCTACACTTGTCCGTGGATCCCACACCTGAAACCCGAGATTGGCATTGTCAAGTGGCTTCAATAGTACCGGATTCGGCCATGTCCAACGTGAAAATACTAGGAAAAATTTATGAACAATTGTCGCAGCTGCGGCATTTGGATACAATTGACAGGTGCGTGCGACGAGCATCGCCCAAGATACACCACCGAAATATCCCAATGAATTTGAATAGATCTCACGTCCTGCAGAAAGAGAAGAAAAAGGAAAAAAAAACCAAAAATTTAAGTATCAATGCATCAGAAGAAAAAAAAGACAAGTCATCAAGTGAATCATACTCACTTTTCGCCCAGAGTTTTATAGCCCGCAATGCTAGGCGATAGCTTTCGATGATCGGTACAAGTCTGAGTATTTCATCGGTCACCCGGCAACCGTTCAAGCTGCGTACGCATTTCTGGTCAAGATTTTTGAGTAGCATGTCATCGCCCAAATCAAAATCGTCCGGAATTTCTTTGAGTGCCAAACGTGCAAACAGCAAATCGATTTCGATCCCATCGAAATTCATCTTAACCACCGGCACGAATGCCTCTTCAATCGCCCGGCACTCGGTCACTTCCGCTTGTTTCTTTAACACTTCGGTGAACATTGTGAAGAATTCTTCACGTGTGACATTTCGCGGTGCAACGCACAGCGCATCAATATCAGCGCCCGGCGAATGTACACCCAAACGATATGAACCAAATGTATGAATACGACCGCCTAGCTTGGACGCCGTTTCGACCGGTACATTCTGATTGATGGACAAATCTTTGATGAACGCAATGGCAAGTGTATTCAATTTGGCTAAAATTTCCATGCGATGATTTAGCTCTGTGTCCGATTCAAACACATTGAATCGTTCAAGGGTCTTTCGCAATTCACTAGTTGCTTCAATGTCTTCCGGCTTTGGGCCAGCTGTTGAGATGGCCGATGTCATGCCATAGTTTCGTGTTGCATTGCCATTTTGCGCTGATGAGTGTTGGCCTTGTTGCTTTGTCACTTCCGAATTCCACATATTTATTGCTTTTTGCGATTTGATCACTAACATGTAATTGATTTACCGCCACCCTCGTCTCGTTGTTAGCGACGCGCGTGCAATTACGCTTGCTGCTCTTGCAAATACAGGCGTCTGATCGAGTGATCCGGATCCAATGTGATTCTCCTCTTTTGTGTTTTCCAGCACCGATAGTGTATGTGTGATAAGATTGCTTGCTTCTACCAATCTAAAAAATGAAGAAAAAAAATTAGAAGAACATTAGCGGCTACGTCATTTTCAGTTTAATTGTCTTAATAATATTCTCAATCAATGATTGTGTTCACAGAATTGTCGTAGCACAGAAAACGTGCCGCCAACACCACGTTCAACTATATCAATCGACCGACAAGCAAAACAACGTCGCGTAAATTATCGAATGGAAAAATTTCCGAATGGGATACAACATTTTGTTTTTCACATCGGAATGCGGCTAATTCAGATTGAATCACGTGGAATCGAGAGTAGTGACACAAACAGAATTTCGCTCGGAAATCCTTTCGGCGCTCTTTTCGTTTCGTTTGTTTTGCTTATGATATAGCATACAAGCGGTTTGCATACAAAACGCGTTGCAAGAGATAGCGAGAGAGAAAATGCTGTCCATACGTAGGATGACAATTATTATTATGCATCTCTTGTGGCGAAAGAGGGAGAGAGAGAGAGAGAGAGAGAGTGTGTACAATTGCGTAAAGAAAAATTTACATAATTTTGTATCGTCAATCAAATTCAGTGTTTTATTCTCGCTCTATTTCTCCTTCACGGCTGCATGATGTGCCGATCGAGAAACAATCGAATGTCTAATTGAGCAAAATTGATAAGCAGCGCCAACAAACACTCACACGAAATTTTTCCTACAGCGAAAACCCAATATTATTCAGAAACATCATCTCAACTTCACACCATTGGTTTTTCGGATGGATTTTTTTGTGCTCGCTTTTCGGATTGTCGTTGGTAATTTTTTTTGTATTGTTGCTTCTTCTCAAACTTCAAAAAAAAAATCACACACAATTCACGTTTTCACGTTTACTAACGAAACGCAACGAAGAAGAAGAAGCAAAAAAAAAATACTCGTATATGAAGAAGTAAAGTGAAGAAACGCACACAAAAATTCAAACAAAACGTTGTGTCAGATTTTTCATTGGCCGAACACACCGAGAGAGAGATACTGACAATTTCATCGAACCGTTTGTAACAAATCGGCACACACAATAAGCAAAAGAAGAAGACAAAAAAAAACTTCAAAACGCCAAAATGATAAACACAAACGGAACCAAAAACGAAAATGATGATGATGAATATTTTCGATAATCGTCGAATTGATAGAAAAGAAAACGTTTCGGTTTTCTTTCTTTCGATTCTGGTTTAATTTCCAAAATAAATCTTTTTTCTTTTTTATTTCAGAAACATTCGTACACGAACTACCGTACGCAAGCAAATACAAATACTACACCAAAATACATGTTTTTTTTCTCTCTCTCTCTCTCTCGTCTTCATTCGTTTGTCGTTGCCTAAACACTTGTGTGTTTGTGTTTGTGTGTGTCTGTGTTAGTCTGAAAACACAGACAAATTGAGAAATCACGTCGTTCGTTCTCTGTCTATTCGCGTCAAAGCCCTGAATTTGTTTCGGGAACTGAAAGAGCGTTGTGTCGGTGTTTGTGTTTGCATGCGTATATACACATCTCTCTCTCTCTCTGTGCGAGTAATGGTAGAGTCTTTGTTGATGTGGACGGTGCCGTGAATTTTGAAAAGAGCATTTCTGGTTAAACGAGAGCAAGAAAAAATACGGTGTTTTTGGAAATGTGCATGTGTATGTGTCATCTTCAACATCCGAAGTAATTGGAAAAGAAACGAGAAGCCAGAATGAGACAAAAAGTCAAATAGCTGTTCTAAAGGCTTTTTTCAAAGGTACATTCTCACCAAATGAGTGGTTTATGCTGCGAAAAGCCTATCACGGAACTACGAATTTGTCGTGTGTTTGTGTCGCTCTCTCTTTCGCACCGCTCATTCATTTGTTCGTTCTGCTGATGTTTTCTTTCATAGTCATCAACGAGCTGCCATGCATCGAACGATTTATGCAAGTCAAGTGAAACGCATTTGTCTCAACCAATCAAAACAAAATGCACAACTTTGCAGAATTGTCGCATTTTTTTGCTCTCTGTTTCTGGAACGCAATGCATTTCGTTTGAAACTGAATTCAACGGAAAATGTTAAATTCGTCGAATATTTGATAAAGAAAGATTGACAATTTGAAAACAAAAATTTATGTATTTTTTCTCTACCAAAGAAATTAACAAGTTTTTTCTTTATTGAATTGCAAATTCTTCAGATGGAAGATCTGGATTTTTCTCTTAAGTTATCATTCTTTTTTTAAATTAAAAAAGTCTTCTTTGAATTTGTTTTTCTTTCGGTGAATGTTTTCGAATGCATATTCTATATCTTCAAACCGATTTTGGCGAGGAAGTACGTTTTTTTCGAAATAAAGATGCAAAATTAATGTGTTGTTATGAAATTCTTACTTATCCTGTGTTATGCAGATCGTCTCCTTGCAAAATAGCACTGTAACACCTCCCAAAACTCGAATGAATCCGCTCTTACTGATAATGAATGAGTGATCTTTAAATCCAAGTAAACTGTGTACGTCGTATCGAAATATCTTTCACCGAAAAGCAAAGAAAATACCGAATCAATTACAGTCGTCTTGATCGCATGCGGAACATTCGCCAAATTGATAAACAAGCGCAGCACGACGAGACAAAGACGATGCTATCCCAATTCAATGCAAATGTAATTACGACACGTCCGAGTTTTTCGTCTGTATCTGTCGTCTCTTGACGCGTATTAACAGAAGCCGGCAGGTTGATGGTTTACGTTGTTGTTCCATGCAAACCAAACACTACGTACACAGAATCGTTTTAACAGATTTGATTCATAATTCACGATCAAGTAACACTGACGACAAATTGCCCAGAAAATTCGTTGGGATTTCTATCTTTTTTCCTTTGTTATTTGTTTACTAAACAATTTTGTGAGTGAGTAATCGTTTGTTTTTTTTTACGTCGCACACAATCGCATCAATCTGACAACTAAATTTGTGTGATAATTTTCCCGTGGAATACTTTTTTGATTCGCATTTGGCAAAAAAATGATCTGAACTAAATTGTGTTTCTCTCTAGAGAATAACTATTTGAAATGAATAAAACGAAGGGAAATTAAAACGGAAAAAATACACCACGCAGCAAATGGAACACTGAACAATTTTCGTTTCTGTTTATTTTGACATTGATTTCGGAGCCAATTCATATGCTACCCAAAAAAACGAGCATGTTTTCGCTTGACAATCAATTCGGACTATGCGGTCTCATGAGTTGCATGTTTGTCTATATAGTTCTTGAGTCACTTGTAAAACACACCACAAAAAAAAGAAACACAACCAACCTTTTTCGCTTCGTTTCGCTCACTCGCTCGCACGCATTCACCTAATCCGAAATAATAAGGGATAAAATGGCCGCACGAATTACAGTCCGGCCACAGGCAAAAAAACACACGCACACTCATACACACATATGTCTTGACATCTGTCTCAGAGAGGTCGCTAAGCGGCAGGTATGATTCTTGTTCTGAGAAGATAAAGGTTGCATTTTGGATCGAAACGAATAATAAATTTGCACCAAAGATTCGGATTTATGTTGATATTTTCTTCGATTGGATTTTTTCTTTACCTTCTGTGGAAAATATGATCCGATTTATCGAGAGAAGAAAAAAAATTGGAATATAGCCCAAGTTCAAAGTTGAAATGCTTAGAAAGAATGAGCCGAAAGTAAAACGAATTTTCCAGAAAATGACAACATTTATGCTCAAGACAAGTGCTGTTTTTTGCTCAGGATAAATTTTCGAA